AGGATATGGATAGACTACCAGACGACTTGGGCAGACTACATTGATAGTCAGATAAATGATTAAATGAAGTCAGCACCAACAAGTGCGAAATTATAATAGTCATGGAAGGAGGAAGAAGCTCGAAGACGGCGTAAAGGCTTGGAGGATAGAGGTTGCAAAAAATCGAATAGAGAAAAGGACATTTGGGTAATTAAAACACCGACCACATCATCTGGGAATATTATCTGCGACATAAGTGGGTCAAGTAAACGTGAGAACGATTCAGTTCCCCTAGGCAATAAACAGTCAGGACACTACAACACCATATATCACACATGTCAGACTTACCACAGAACACACAGCGCCTGTATTGGACACAAACCTAATCAACCAAATGAAGAGATTCCCAGCATGACTGATCCCGGAAAGGCTAAGAGGACTGAGCATAACGAATATATAGGGAAAATAACCATGAAAGAAATATTTTATCAGAGGAGTTGATAGAAAAGACAGAGAAGACTGTCTGAAAGCTGGAGATCTAGATACAGGGGACACAAATCAAACTTTAAGACGTAAATAAGTAACAGTGAAATTTGCTTTATCAGAAATTAAGGTTTTCAGTTTGACATAAAATTTTCGCTTAAGTGAATAAGCTTACAGAGCTGTACGGATATGGTAAGATAATATAAATAAAAATAAGCCCACTTCAGTAAATATGCTTGTGATTTTACAAACAGTAGTGCATATTTGTACAATGGTTCTGAGCACACATAAATTTTGTAGGCATACATTAGTGACACATTATGTAGATTTAATCAAGGATAGCGCAATAATGTCAAGCAGTGCGATGCTGATCTCATTTACATCATACAAGGTCAGAGCTCGGAGGCTGGAGGTCAAATTATTCACACTACATTTCTAGGGAAACATAAAATAAACTGGTGTTGCGTGTTGGTGGTATGGTCTAAAAGTGTGACTGGTTGCTGGTCTAAATTTTAGAAAATGAACACGATGTAAGATTAATCCTAGCTGCGAAAAGTTTTCTGTGAGACTCCCTTCACGTCTGACCGATGGAAAACGACATCTCTTGTCTGAATGTGTGTGAGAGAGATAGAGGCAGACATATTGATAGACAGATAGATAGACAGAGAAATAGATAGGTAGATAGATAGAGAGATGGAGGTAGAGAGAGAGAGAGTTTGTGTATGTGTATGTGTATGTGTATGAGTTTATGTGGGACCTTTGTCTAGGGGTTTGTCGTCTCTCCCTCCCTCCAGTTAACTGGCGAAGCCATAGCAGAAATAACAGCCAAGACACATCCTGACTCAGCTCTGCAGGTGCGAGAGAGAGACAGACAAACAGACAGAGAAAGAGAGGGGTTTCTGCTCACCCAAGCCTCCAGAACGACCTTGATCTCAAAATCAACAACAATGGCGACCACGACGACGATGACGAAGACGACGAAGACGACTAAGACGAGGGATATCTTTGAGCGAATTCCAGTAACTGACAAAGTTTGTTGTGGTTCAATGCCACCTTTGTCCTCTGTGGAACGTGAGAACGTGTGACTGAGTCGGGCTTGCTGCTGGTGTCACCTCCTGCAGAAGTATAGGTCACTCTTCAATTGCGGGATCCCTCACCCCCACTAAGTATATAATGAAAGAATAGAAGTCACAGTAACGTGGCTGGAACAATTCAATATTCAACCACAATATGTAGAGGAAACTTTAGACGACGTTTTGCTCCCTCCTGGACTATTCTCAAGTTACATAATAATAATTATTTTGAGTAAAGTGCAGATTTGTTATGGGAATCTTTGAGAATAAAAGTGAGCAAGTCTTTAGGTGAAGGAAATAATCTCTACCAAGTCTCAGAACGAGGGTAAACAACCTCTCCGTGACGACCAAGTGCCAGGGCGAAAGGAACAACCTCTCTCTTCCTACCAAAACAGTACTCACTACGTCCATAAACAAACATTATTTCCTCCCATAATATCTTCCAGAATTGCAGTCTTACACCTCATGCAAAATTCAAGGAAACTCTCAGAGGATTTATGAGTATTCTCTTAATTACTCAGATCTAGATATGAAAGAGTATGCACTTTTAGTGTTACATATTAGGCTGTTATGAGCACTGGTAAGTCTTAAATAGTGACCGATAGGATTGTACTGCAAGTATTCAGCGTCTGAGAATACCTCATAGTTCTTATAAGCGAACTCCTGGTAATGGAAGTTTGGTGATTGTGCGTCCTGTAGCATCAGAGTGAGGCAGGCCAACATGCGTCTAGGTGTAGCATTAAAACAAGACTTTCCAGCATGAAGCAGAACTTTAGGTAGACTGAGTGTTCCCACCACGTAACTGGCACGTATAGTTCCCACCATGTAACCAGTCATGCTGAGTATTGTAGCAGCACACTGCGAGTGTCCCCAATGTGTAACCAATCATGCAGAGTAATGTAGCAGCACACTGCAAACATTCGCACCATGTAACTATTAGGGTATACAGACTAGGGTAGCAGCACACTGTTGATATGCCCCCACAATTTTTAATGTTTAACTCACGCCCCGTGTGTCACAACTATGTAATAAATTATGTATATGCTAAAATTACGTATATGCTGCTTAATAAGACACATGTGCAACACCTGCGCATTGCACATATTACACCAGTTGTTTCACATGTGTGCTGTACATCAACCTGTCGGTGTTCTACAGCCGTGATCAGAAAATGTTTGTGAGTTGTCTACCATGTAATTACGATTTTCTTTTACTACGATCACAGATAATAATGGCCTGTTGACCTGGTCGTAATGGGTCTTGGAGCGAAAATAATCACAGCAGTAGTCTTTAACTTGTATTTTCCTTCACCAGTTAGATACAGCTATGTGCACTTATGTACACTATGTACATGGAATTGAAATATAAGTGTACCACACGGTGTTTAAAGGCAAAGACAAAAGCCAGAGAGAGAGCACCGTTCTTCAACTATCTAAAGGCAAGTCTGGTAAGGGCTGACTGTAAGTGAAGCCACATCACCTTAGCCCTTGACAGGCCCGCCTGTGATTGGTTAATGAACCAAGGTACTGATTTAACGATGGGTACCCTTACCGATAAACCCTTAGCACCTGGTTCGCTGGTTGGGAGGCAGCCTATATGGGAGTGTGTACATGCTCCGAATAAAGTGTAACGTACTCTTTGAATGGGATATCTTTCATGGTACAGGACTTATTTTTGTATTACGCCAGACTCACCACCGTCAGACGTACCACCGCCCAGCGCACCACCAGCAGGCGCACCACTGCAGTTAGTTTAATATGTTTATTATGCACCCCATACCCATCCTGCAGACATCACTTTCCACTCGCTCTACCGGATCAAAAAGAGGATTTACCCACGGGCTATGTGCCTTGTTTGGTCCTCTCATGGTGTTCACTTTATTATTATTATTATTATTGTTATTATTATTATTAGTAGTAGTAGCAGTAGTAGTAATAGTAGTATTAATATTAGTAGTAGTAGTGGCAGCAGTAGCAGAAGTAGTAGCAGTAGTAGTAATAGTAGTAGTAGTAGTAGTACCAATAGTAGAAGTAGTATTAGTAGCAGCAGTAGTAGTAACAGTAGTAGTAGTAATAATAGTAGTAGTAGTAGTACAGTGCCAGTAGTAGTATCAGTAGTAGTAGTAGTAGCACTATTATCATTGCACTCTTAATGTTATGCTTAGAGTCGATCACTCTCTCTCTCTCTCTCTCTCTCTCTCTCTCTCTCTCTCTCTCTCTCTCTCTCTCTCTCTCTCTCTCTCTCTCTCTCTCTCTCTCTCTCTCAATAAAATAATAAGAGAGCATCACTCACATATAATATTCCTGCTGCAGTAAACGCATCCCATAGAAAACATTAAAGGCCGCCATGTTGCAATAAAATTTATATATGGCTAGCCGTGCATATAATCTGGATTATTTATTTGTAATTGCTTCTACCATTACCCAAGGCATAAAGTGTGTGGAAAAACAAGCACAAAAATTCCTTTTATAATTATTTTTTCTGTCACATGTTGGCCCAAAATGAGAGAAATTAAAGCATGAATTTGTTGGAAATTGATTTGTTTATTATTGCGATACTATTCTGAAGAATTATTTAATTAGTGAATATGTTTTTTTTTTCTTTATAAAGGGTGGAGGTAGGGGACGCTCTCTGCCAACCTGAACGCAGAGAGCGTTCCCTATTTTTACCCCTATTTAAGAGCTAAAGTGCAGTAGGACCGCCGTATCCGCGGGTCCAGTTTCCGCTGTTTCAGTTATCCATTGTTTACCCTGGCCCGAAAATAACCCTTAATTTTGCTTAATAATGACACTAAAGTACAAGGATAGTGATGGTGCTAATTCTCGACTTAACTTATCAAATAAACTTTATCATAGGCATGTATGAAACGAAAAATTGCTTAAATATAAGTTACGCTACTATCCACAGTAGATCTTGGAACTTATCCCCCGCGGATACGGGGGTTCTACAGTATTCTTGACTGGTGATGAACAGGTTTCGTGTACCCTATGTGTCCCTTGTTTGGTGGAAAGGTTTTTAATCCACTAAACCAATAAACTGGCTGTGTGTGTGCATGTTGTTACTACCTATGTGTGTTTGATGTTGCTCTGTGTAAGTGTATGTTGTTAGTTCCTGTGTGTGTGTGTGTGGGTGTGTGTGTGTGCGTGTGTGTGTGTGTGTGTGTGTGTGTGTATTGTTATTCCCCGTGTGTGTGTTTAACCACTTTGTGAATGTATGTATAATGTCACTCAACGTGTGTTGTTAATCTCACTGTTTGTTTATAATGGCACTGTGTGTGTGCGTGTTTGTGTGTACGTGTGTGTGTGTGTGTGTGTGTATGTATGTGTGTGTGCGCGTGTGTGTGTGTGCGTGTGTGTATGTGTGTGTGTGCATGTGTGTGTGTATTTGTGTGCATGTGTGTGTATGTATGTGGGTCGAGTCTTAGCTCCTGGCCCCGCCTCTTCACTAAACAAACAGAAAAACCATCGCTGCGGACAGGATTCGAACCTGTGCGGGAAGAGCCCAATGGATTTCAAGTCCATCTCCTTAACCACTCGGACACCGCAGCGTGTGTGTGTGTTACCAATTGGTCCTAAGCACATGTCGATTAGACACTAGGCCTGTTGTATGTGCATGCGTGTGTATGTGTGTGTGTATGTATGTTAGTGTGTGTGTGTATGTGTGTGTGTGTGTGTGTGTGTGTATTAACATTTGGTCCTAGGCACATGTCGATTAGACACTAGACCTGTTGTATGTGCATTCGTGTGTGTATATGTATGTTAGTGTGTGTGTGTGTATGTATGTTAGTGTGTCTGTGTGTATGTGTGTGTGTATGTGTGTGTGTGTGTGTGTACTCACCTATTTGTGGTTGCAGGGGTCGAGTCACAGCTCCTGGCCCCGCCTCTTCGTTGATTGCTACTAGGTCCTCTCTCTCCCTGCCCCATGAGCTCTATCATACCTCGCCTTAAAACTATGTATGGTTCCCGCCTCCACTACGTCACTTTCTAGGCTATTCCACGGCCTGACTACTCTATGACTGAAGAAATACTTCCTAACATCCCTTTGATTCATCTGAGTCTTCAACTTCCAATTGTGACCTCTTGTGTCTGAGTCCCTTCTCTGGAGCATCCCGTCTTTGTCAACCTTGTCTTTTTCCGCGCGTATTTTATATGTCGTATCATGTCTCCCTGACCCTCCTGTCCTCCAGTGTCGTCAGGCCGATTTTCCCTCAACCTTTCGTCGTGGACAATCCCCGTAGCTCTGGGACTAGTCTTGTTGCAAACCTTTGCACTTTCTCTAATTTCTTGACATGCTTGACTAGGTGTGGATTCCAAACTGGTGCTGCATACTCCAGTATGGGCCTGACGTAAATGGTATACAGAGTCTTAAAAGAATCCTTTCTGAGGTATCGGAAACGCTAATCCCTAGGTTTGCCAGGCGCCCGTATGCTGCAGCAGTTATCTGATTGATGTGCGCCTCAGGAGATATGCTCGGTGTTATGCTCACCCCCAGATCTTTTTTTCCCTTTAGTGGGTTGCAGTTTGGCCATCTAAACTATATTGTGTCTGCGGTCTTCTTTGCCCTTCCCCCAAACTTCATGACTTTGCATTTCGCAGGGTTAAATTCAAGGAGCCAGTTGCTGGACCAGGCTTGTAGCCTGGGCCAGGTTCTTTGTAGTCCTGCCCGATCCTCGTCCGATTTGATTCTTCTCATTAACTTCGCATCATCTGCAAACAAGGGACACTTCTGAGTCTATCCCTTCCCTTATGTCGTTCACATTTTACCAAAAACAGCACAGGTCCTAGGACTGACCCCTGTGGAACCCGCTTGTCACAGGCGCCCACTCTGACACCTCGTCGCGTACCATGACACGTTGTTGCCTCCCTGTCAGGTATTCTCTGATCCATTGCATGCCTTTCCTGTTATGGTTTTGCCTGATCTCTAGCTTTTGCCCGTAACCTCTTGTGAGGAACTGTGTCGAGGCCTTCTTGCAGTCCAAAATATGCAGTCGATCCACCCCTCTCTCTCTGTCTTACTTCTGTCACCCTTTTCAATAAAACTCTAGTAGGTTTGTGAACAGGATTTTCCTTCCCGAAACCGTGTTGGTTGTCAATTATACACTTTTTTTCTTTCCCGGTGCCCCACCACTCTCCTCCTGATGATCTTCTCCATGACCTTGCATACTATACACGTTAGTGATACGGTCTGTAGTTTTTGTGCCTCATGTCTGTCTCCCTTTTTAAAATTGGGACTACATTTGCCATTTTCCATACCTCAGGGAGTTGCCCAGTTTCAAATGATGTGTTGAAGATCTTTGTTAATGGCTACACAATATCTTGCTCCCTCTTTAAGGACCATGGAGAGATGTTGTCTGGTCCCACCCCCTTTGAGGTGTCAAGTTCGCCCTGCAGCTTCTTCACCTCCTCCTTGGTTATATGTTTCCTCACCCGCACTTGCTGGTGTGCCCCCTGTTCTCATTTCTTGGAGTCCTACTGGGTTTTCCCCTGTAAATACCTCTTTAAATCTTGTGTTGAGCTCCTGACATACCTCTCGGTGTTTCTTGTGAATTCCCCCTCACCCTTTCCCCAGTCTGATTACCTGGTCCTTGACTGTTGTTTTCCTCCTGATGTGGCTGTACAACAGCTTCGGGTCAGTCTTTACTTTTGATGCTATGTCATTTACATATTGTCTCTGAGCCTCCCTTCTTATCTGTGCATATTCGTTTCTGGCTCTTCGGCTGATTTCCTTTATTTTCTTGAGTTCTCTGTCTTCTGTACCTATTTCCATTCTCTAGTACACCTAGTTTTGCCTCCCTACACCTTTGGGTGAACCAAGGACTCGTTCATGTTCTTCCCATTATTTCTGTTTCCCTTGGAACAAACCTCTCCTCTGCCTCCTTGCATTTTGTTGCTACATAGTCCATCATTTCTTGTACTGGTTTTCCTGTCAGTTCCCTCTCCCACTGAATGTCTTGAAGGAAGTTCCTCATGCCTGAGTAGTTCCCCCTTTTGTAGTTTGGTTTTTCCCAGCCTATTCCTGCTACTCTCTCCACTTGGAGCTCAACTATTAGTCGAAGCACAGACCACATGATCACTAGCTCCCAGGGGCCTTTCATACATGATACCCTCGATGTCCGAGCTACTCATGGTGGATACAAGGTCCAACCTTGCTGGTTCATCCTCTCCTCTCTCTCTAGTAGTGTCTCTAACATGTTGATGCATGAGGTTCTCCAGTACCACATCCATTATCTTGGCTCTCCATGTTTCGGGACCCCCATGGGGCTCCAGGTTTTCCCAGTCAATCTCCTTGTAATTGAAATCACCCATAACTAGTAACTTTGCTCCCCCCATGTGTGCTCTCCTGGCCACCTCGGCTAGTGTGTTGATCATTGCTCTGTTGCTCTCATCGTATTCTTCTCTTGGCCTCCTGCAGTTCTGTGGTGGGTTGTACATTACTGCAGTTATCACCTTATGTCCCTCAGACTGGATTGTTCCTACTAAGTAGTCCCTTTCGCCCATGCCATCCATTCCTTCCATTTTCTCAAAACCCCACTGTTTTTTAATGAGCATGCAACTCCTCCTCCCCCTCTCCTCCCTCTGTCTTTCCTGAAGATTGATATCCGGATGGAAAGATTGAATCTGTTTATTATTCTGGTGAGTTTTGTTTCTGTGAGTGCTATTATGTCTGGGGATGTCTCTTTGATTCTTAGTGCCACTCCTCATACTTGTTTTGTTATTCCATCTGCATTTGTATACCACACCTTCAACTTCTTTTCTAAAGACTGTGGTCTGGGAAGTATATTGGGGTTGGGGAAGTGGGAGACCTGGTAAGGAACTATGGGTTGTTGCTGTGGGGTGAATTTGTAATGTAGTGGGTGGGGGCATTGGATGTGGCATGGGTGTTTTGATTTAGAGTGTTTGGTTGCACTGGGTTGACCTGGTTGGGAGGCTTCTATAGAAAGTTGTGAGGGAGGCTGTATTTGGTCTTCTTCCTGTGTGTGTGTGTGGTGTGTGTGTGTGTGTGGTGTGTGTGTGTGTGTGTGTGTGTGTGTGTGTGTGTGTGTGTGTGTGTGTGTGTGTGTGTGTAATTTTGTGTGGAATTATGTGTGGGTTTATTATGTACTGAAAGGTAGGCTAGTGCGTTGTAATGTAGTCTCAGTGGTCCTTTCCTGCCCACAACTTCTTGTGACCTGACCCCCAACCTCCTGGGGCTTGACCGGCACGTACTTGTGTGTGTGTGTGTGTGTGTGTGTGTGTGTGTGTGTGTGTGTGTATACTCACTTATTTGTACTCACCTATTTGTGGTTGCAGGGGTCGAGTCACAGCTCCTGGCCCCGCCTCTTCGCTGATTGCTACTAGGTCCTCTCTCTCCCTGCCCCATGAGCTCTATCATACCTCGCCTTAAAACTATGTATGGTTCCTGCCTCCACTACATCACTTTCTAGGCTATTCCATGGCCTGACTACTCTATGACTGAAGAAATACTTCTTAACATCCCTTTGATTCATCTGAGTCTTCAACTTCCAATTATGACCTATTGTGTCTGTGTCCCATCTCTGGAACATCCCGTCTTTGTCCACCTCGTCTATTCCGCGCAGTATTTTATATGTCGTTATCATGTCTCCCCTGACCCTCCTGTCCTCCAGTGTCGTCAGGCCGATTTCCCTCAACCTTTCTTCATAGGACAATCCCCGTAGCTCTGGGACTAGTCTTTTTGCAAACCTTTGCACTTTCTCTAATTTCTTGACGTGCTTGACTAGGTGTGGATTCCAAACTGGTGCTGCATACTCCAGTATGGGCCTGACGTAGATGGTATACAGAGTCTTAAACGAATCCTTACTGAGGTATCGAACGTATTCGTAGGTTTGCCAGGCGCCCGTATGCTGCAGCAGTTATCTGATTGATGTGCGCCTCAGGAGATATGCTCGGTGTTATACTCACCCCCAGATCTTTTTGCTTGAGTGAGGTTTGCAGTCTTTGGCCATCTAAACTATATTGTGTCTGCGGTCTTCTTTGCCCTTCCCAATCTTTATGACTTTGCATTTGGCAGGGTTAAATTCAAGGAGCCAGTTGCTGGACCAGGCTTGTAGCCTGTCCAGGTCTCTTTGTAGTCCTGCCTGATCCTCGTCCGATTTGATTCTTCTCATTAACTTCACATCATCTGCAAACAAGGACACTTCTGAGTCTATCCCTTCCGTTATGTCGTTCACATATACCAAAAACAGCACAGGTCCTAGGACTGACCCCTGTGGAACCCCGCTTGTCACAGGGCCCACTCTGACACCTCGTCGCGTACCATGACTCGTTGTTGCCTCCCTGTCAGGTATTCTCTGATCCATTGCAGTGCCTTTCCCGTTATGTGTGCCTGGTCCTCTAGCTTTTGCAGTAACCTCTTGTGAGGAACTGTGTCGAAGGCCTTCTTGCAGTCCAAAAATATGCAGTCGATCCACCCCTCTCTCTCTTGTCTTACTTCTGTCACCTTGTCCTAAAACTCTAGTAGGTTTGTGACACAAGATTTTCCTTCCCTGAAACCGTGCTGGTTGTCAATTATACACTTGTTTCTTTCCAG